GTTATATTTTCCCGGTTTCATTTCACTCGCCTCATGACCTCCGTGGAGGATGTAAGCAAACCATAATGTCGTTTGTACTGGGGATTTGTCTATTGGTTTGATGCTTATTGTTAATGTAAATGCTTACATAGTTCTCTGGTAACTTTTCTCGCTATATGTTCACGTCATTTTGGTTCTATCTTTATCTCAGAAAACACGCAAGCTAGTAGTGCTTCAGGCCGAAGACGCAACTAAGGTATCCAGGTTTTATTGCGGCCTTGGTGAGCGCAGCAAGGTTTGTGAAATATGGTGTTCTTACTTGTATAAGGTTGTAGAAATACACTGATTGTAAAGTGTCATATTTCTCGTAATTGTTAGTCACATTTTTACATATTTTAAAGTAGCAAACTTGTGTTTCTATACGTTTATTCTGTATTTCAGTTTTCACGGTGCTCGAAGCTGGTCATTGCCGACTGCAAATAAACATACCGCACCTGTAGAGACTCTCTGCTCATTCGTGACGCCAAGGGCCGTAACACCACACTGTATATTAATAAATCACAGCTTGCACCGAAGTCGGCTACCTGGGGCCGCCTTTTTCTTCTTGCTCACTCACCTCCGTGTGCGAACGAAACGTAACACATGTTCAGACAAGGTTCTCAGAATACTACGGCCACATGTTCTACCTTTGTTTAATAGCATTGCAGTGAGAATGTTTTGAGAAGGTTCTCGGAAAGTTGCAGCCACAATGTTTTACCTTTGTTTAATAAATAACATTGCCTGAATGTTATCCAAGGCACGTTACACTGACAAGATTCTGAGAAGGTTCTCCAAAACGTTGTAGCCAGAACATGTTAGTTTTGTTAAATATGCAACGTAGCTTCAATGTTTGCAAACAAACATTGCATTCACAACGTTTTAAGAACATTTATTGAACATTTCAGTTACAACATTATAAATCGGTGCAAAAATAACATTGCAACATTTTTTAATCAGTGAAAACATCCTTAGCACATTAATGTAATGTTTTCAACTAATGGGTCATCTGTAACCTTTGTAGAACTCATAGAGAATGTTACTAAAAGATGTGGGAACGTTCCTTCCTAGCTGGGAGGTGTGTCAACTCATTTCCTGAAAAATTAAGTTTAATTCAATTTATTATACATTTATTGACATCATAATGACATAGCACAATTTATCACGACACCTGACTGATATGGTATGTTTTTATGTGTGTATGTGACAACCATGCAGTTATCACTAGTTTGTTAAACTTAATATAATCTTAATATCAACATCACTAACAGCTGCTTCTTTTGTTGTTACTTAACATCTTGTTGAAAAGCTGGATATTTACACAAGATTATGAAACAGATAAATAAAAAAAAGTTGCTAGTGGAATTAACCCTTTGACTTTATTATTTTCTGTCATGTGAAAATAACACATCATGTGACAATCTAAAATATTTACTAAACTCATTATGACCAGGTCAAACTCTGTCCACAAATGTTCTCAGGTCAAACTCTGTCCACAAATGTTCTCAGTAAAAACTCATAAGAGAAGAGAAGATAAAGCATTATAATGTTCAAGGTTCATGGCCATGCCTCACTTTACCTATTAGGCAAGCTAGAGAGCAGGTAAATAGCAACTAAAGAGAGAAGTTCATTTTAGCCACACATTTTATGTACAGACATGAATCTGAATGCAGAGAGTCACAGTGTTCCTCTTGGTGATGGAAATCATATTCCACTACTGGGATTTGGCACCTATGGGGACCCTCGAACGGTAGGAAGGATGTCGTATTTTTCTGTTCCTAGACTTAAACATAAACTTGACTGAGTATCAGAGTTTATTGTTTGCAGTCATTGGTAAATCATTAACAATTATTTTAAATGTCAGAGTAAAATGACAATATATCATTCTACCAGGAATGCATATTTGCACAAACTACAGCATGACTCAGTCACAACAACAGTCAAATGATATTAACATTTTCTTTGGATCTCCTATAGACCCCTAAAGGGACAACATCTGAGTGTGTCAAGTTGGCCATAGATGTAGGTTACAGGCACTTTGATGGAGCATTGGTGTATTTCAATGAGCATGAAGTGGGCCAAGCCATAAGAGAAAAGATTGCTGATGGAACTGTCAAAAGAGAGGACATCTTTTACTGTGGAAAGGTAATAAACTCTGTCATATGTCAGGTGTTTCATTTGCGTAAATGATTTGTCTTTAGTTTGAAGAATAGTTTCTTTAGAATTAGATTTAAGAGTATCACGTTATTTTTAAGGCCTTTGATTTAGATATTTGAACGCTCATCTGTAAACACTTTCCCAAAAGCAGAATTATGTGATGAGTGCTCCATATCAAGGTTTGTTCTCTCTCTCAGCTCTGGAATACCTTCCATCCACCAGAGTTGGTGAGACCTGCCTTGGAGAGGACACTGAAAGCCTTAAAACTAGACTATGTGGATCTCTACATCATTGAGCTTCCTATGGCCTTCAAGGTTTTTATGTAGTACACTTAACTTATCAGCCAGCCATTGCATGCAGCCTTACTGTACACACTCAGTGGTAGTGTTTAGTTTTATTGGAAATGATTGAATTATACTTAAATTTTAGCCTGGAAAGGAGTTCTATCCAAAAGACCAAGATGGAAAAGAGATCTATCACCACACAGACCTCTGTGCAACCTGGGAGGTAAGATCTATTCAGTTCTCTATAAATGGTCCAATTTGTAGATGTTGCATGCCTTTGATCTCTTCCACCTTTCTGTCTAGGTATGATGGTATTTTCATGACCTATTGTTTCCCCACTTATGTATTTTTAACAGTTCTGTTTCACTTTTGCTTCATGTGTGTACTTGAATTAAATATTAACCTTTTCAAAAAGTTATGAACTAAGTGTACATGTATTTACAGTACGTTAGTGGGTATAGACAACATAAAGTATTTAAAACACTTTTCAGTACTATGAAATACAGTTCAACACTAGAAGTAACTGGAGCCAGAAAACCACAGTGCTGAATCTGTGGCACTATCAGCATAACTAATCGCACAGATCTTGTCCTTGAAGTATCTAATAAAATACCAAGTCAGTGTAGTGTCATTTTATTCAGGTGTCCTACATGTTATTGGCTGTCCCTTCTCCAACTTAAAATAAAGGAGCAGCTATTTTTGTGTGCGTTCATTGTGTGCAATGTTCAGTATGTTCAGCAATATCTACAATGTTTCCAGAAAACAATATTAAAATCAGGAATAATATGAAACCAGTTTGAAAGTAGCATGTGATATTCCTTTATACTTACTGTAAATGTTAATGCCATATCATTCCCTGCAACAGCATCAAAAACAGTCAAGGACATGTCATAAATATTTAGGCTGTGTTCTTCTTTCTATTTCCACTGTGATTTATGGGTTTGTGTTCTCTCAGTAAAGATGATCACAATCAGTCTCTGAGATGATGTAAATGTCTTTTCTTCAACAGGCCTTAGAGGCTTGCAAAGATGCAGGACTTGTGAAGTCTCTGGGAGTCTCCAATTTCAACCGCAGACAGCTGGAGCTGCTGCTGAATAAACCTGGCCTTAGACACAAGCCTGTATCCAACCAGGTGACCTCATTATGTCTTTTCAGATCCCTACTGACATCAGATATGACATAGCATGTAGTACAGTAATATAATACAGTATACGAGGTAGGGCAAATCGTCTTCTGACCAGCAAGTAGGTGGTTCGACTCCCGGTCTCCCCACATGCCTAAGTGTCCCTGAGCAAGACACTGAACCCCAAATTGCTCCCGGTGGCTTGACTAGCGCCGTTGTGTGGCAGCCTTGTCGTCATCGGTGTGTGAATGTGTGTGTGAATGGGTGAATGGTGTATAATCTCCCTGTAAAGCGCTTTGGCCAGTGCATAAAAAAGCGCTATATAAATACAGTCCATTTACCATTTACCATTTATAGCGAAGGCTATTATAGCGAAAGCTATTAACAAATAGCATACTTTTCAGTCTCTCTGCTTTCCATTCAGCAAATCTTAAATAATTAAGATGGCAGCTTGGCAATCTCTTGGCCAGTTAGTAACTTAATGAATTTGATGGATTCATCACTATTTGGTGAAATGTTTGGAAGTGGTTTCAACTTTATCTGTGCCCAGCTGATTCATTTTTACTTAGTTTTCTTTGGAAAATGCCAACATAGCCATATTAGTATACTGGAAGTAACTGTGTATACTTCATGTTCTTTATATAGAATGTATAATACACACAAGACTACAGTATCTTTTCTTTCCTTTCCATGCCATTTTATTCTGGCCAGCAAAAGCACTGGTTGGGCACTAATGTAAAATTACATTTTCTTTTGAACTATGTATTTTATTTTTACTTACCTGTAGGTTGAGTGCCATCCATATTTCACACAACCCAAGCTTCTGGAGTACTGTCGTCAGAATGACATTGTGATTGTTGGCTACTGCCCACTTGGCTCAACCAGAGATCCAGGCTGGTATGTAGGCTTGAGGACATATGCTCTTTTCAAGCCATACTTTTAAATATACAAGTTGCTGACAGCTGATGTGACACTACAACATTATCATTGTTACCCTACCCTCAGCACTTAGAGATGCTAACAAAATAAAAAAAAAAGCTTGGACAAAAGTCTGTTTTGGCATAATTTGTATTCTCTTCTGTCCCTGGTTTAGGGTGAATCTGAAATGCCCTCCCCTGCTGGAGGATGAGCTGCTTGTATCCATTGGGAAAAAGTACAACAAGAGCAGTGCTCAGGTAGCTCTGCGTTTCAATGTCCAGAGAGGAGTTGTAGTGATCCCCAAGAGCTTCAGTCCTGAGAGAATCAAACAAAACTTCCAGGTGGGCGTTACAAAATATGTAGATTTTTTTTTTCATATCAGGGACTGTAATGTTCACTGCAGGCAGTGAAATGTATGTTAATATGTTAAGTTATGGTATTAAGCATACTATTGTAGTTAACAATCATATTATATTCTGTTACAGATATTTGATTTTTCACTCAGTGCGGAAGAAATGAGAGCCATTGAAGCACTAAACACAAATATTCGTTTTGTGGAGCTGCTGATGTAAGTATAAGCTTTCTATAAAAATATCTGGGGAGGTTGAATGGAACCTTATATAGTATAGTACCTAATCATTATGTAAATTCATATGCGTTAATTCATTTTATAACGCATTACCCAACTTTATCTGATAATATATTGCTAACGAATAAGCTGTCACATCTCGCTCACTAACAAAAACACCTTTTTGTTTCAACACAGGTGGAGTGACCACCCAGAGTACCCATTCCATGATGAATATTAAGTTTTATTTTTTGTGATGTGCATCATTTTTGACTGAAGCTTCTTGTACAAACAAAGCAAATTGTTCTTCAGTCTTTTCAGCATGTTAATTTCATCAATAAAGTTTCCATTGGAGCATTTTCACACTAAACACTAGAGGGCTCTAGCCTACAGTGAATGAAAAAGACAAGTAAATTGAGGGTTTAAAGATTAACATACAGCTCTGTTGTGAAATGGAAAAGCTGCATACAGCATTTGCTGCAAATTAGTTTCATATGCATCTCCAAAGAACTAAATAAATATGACAATGTATCCCATCTAGATAGCAATACATATGGATTATTGATTCTTCAGCTAGATTTGCATTTACATTACATTTTCGATATATCAGCTACTAATGGTCACTTTATATTAGTTTGAGGACTGTGATAATTTGGAAAAGCCAGGTAGTATCTGATCCCCCCTAGGCAGTGCTGGTTGTAGTGTTAATAGTGTTTGAAACATTGGGTTTTTTTTGCGTTGAAAACTGTCAGACCTTGATATGAAATGACTGACTTTAAACTCTCTGTCTTGTTTGGTCAAAGAGGGTTTGTAAGTTTGATCAGATCAAATCTGACATCACAGCACACAAGGACATGAAACAGGTAAAAAAAAAAAAAAAGCTGCTAGGGGAATTAACCCTTTGACTTTATTATTTTCTGTCATGTGAAAAAAACACAACATCATGTAAAAAGAATATGCATCTTTTAGGGAAAAAAGAACCAGCCTCATAAATGTATGACTTTTTCCTTCTTCCTTAGTGTGGCCTTAATACTCTGTCATATAAAATACACATTCCATATAAATATAAAAACAAAGTGTAATATTATTATTAGTGTTAATAGTGTTTGAAACATTGTTTTTTTTCCGTTAAACTGTCTGTCAGACCTTGATATGAATTTTGTTTTTTTGTTTTTTTTCGCTAAACTGTCTGTCAGACCTTGATATGAAATGACTGACTTTAAACTCTCTGTCTTGTTTGGTCAAAGAGGGTATATGAGTTTGATGAGATCAAATCTGACAGCACTGACACAATGTGTGATCTTTGTGTACACACCTGTTACCTACTTTAATCATCTTGACTAGTTTCTCCTCAGCTGTCGTTCCACTACAAATGGTAGTAGGGAGAAGTCAGCAGTATTTAGTGGTTCAGTGCCTTCTATCTGTTTAACGACTTAATCTTTTATTTCTCCTGTGAGCAAGAAGCCTCTGCTCTGTTAGGACACTTACTTGACAAGGTCCTGCTTGAAAAGGCTTGAGTAAATATTTGTACATGCCTGATTATTTGATTTCACAGAAACCTAAAAATGGGGTAAAGAGTAGAGCTGTATTAGTCCAGTCAGTACATAGATCCTTGCAGTAATGGGTCTGTGCATCCAAATGTTTTACACACATGCCGTCCAGTTAGAATATTTGATACAGTTTTCTCCCACTGACCTCAAGTTACCTAGTGTAGTTGAACATGTGCAAGCCTTTGGATCAAACTGGTTTAATATTATTCTATAAAAAGCCTCATGACTGAGCTTCCACAACATCTGAATCACTGTGAATATTAACTTCTTATGCCAATAGATCTTAAGATTCTTTTTACACATTTAATTTAACCTGCAGATTAGAGTTTGTTTAATCTGATGAGACAAAATGGGCCCTTCAGAGTAAACAGACTACAATCTGAGCAGTGACCTGTGGCTGTACAGTTATAGAGCAGCAGGTAGCTGCAGACAGAATGAAAAAATACAGTTCATTAATTAACTCCCCTGTGGTTTTGACTTTTGTCTTATTTTTTTCCCTAGGGTTATTCGGAAGCATGACAGTGACAATGAGCTACTAACATATGAGGTGGAAGAGAGAAATCAACATTTGCTTGGAGAGACAGGACCAGGGACGCTTGTAAACTATTATTCAGAATAGCTATATTCTTTAATAAGAGCTGAACCAGTAATTTTCATCTGTGTATGTAAGTTATTGTGATTTTGATTAGTTGTGAACTCTCCATCTAAGACACACAGAACAGTTTGACAATCTGGGAAAGAAGGGTATTTGTTTTCTTGGCAAGAGTTAGATAAGGGGATTGACGGAACTATCCATAAGATATATTATCTTAGCACAGCACAAAGACTGGAAACAGGGGAAACAGCTCTGTCCAAAGGTAACAAAATCCATATACCAGCACCTCTAAAGTTACATTTGACTAATTTATACAAACATAAATGTGTAAAGTTGCATATTATGGTGTTACTTAGTGAGCTGTAGAGGTGCTGGTAGTCAGCCTGGTAGCCAGACTAGCTGTTTCTTCCTCTTTCCAGTCTTTGTACTAAGCTAAGATAACCAGTTGCTGGCTGTAGCTTCTTATTTTTCATAAATGCATGGTATCAGTCTTTTCATCTACTATAATGCTCCGCAAGAAAGTGGATATATCAAAACGTTGAACTATTCCATTTAGATAAAGACACCATACTGTAATTAGAACTGAAATGCAAAAAAATGATATGAGTATGATTTCTCAGTTGTGGTGTATGCTTGTGAAAAACCATTTACGTTGATCATTATTAAATTGATTCAATGTTTAAGACACTGAATAAATGGTTGTGAAGAGTGTTTTTACATTATGAATGTAGGCTTTGTCATCAGTGGCCTCATGCTTTGTTGGAACTGTCGGCAAGATCACTACAGTCAGCTGGGATTCAATCTGCACTCCACAGGACACAACAAAGATTCCACTATTATCTCTTTCCTGGGATCAGGTGGTGCTATTGCTTACATTAATGACAATGCAAGTTAATACTTGAAAGTCAGCAAAGGATGATAGCTATTGTTTATACCAAACTCAAGCAGTTAAAGGCATAATCAGTGAAATATGGCCCTTTAATAACATCTAGTGGCAGGCATTTAAAACTGCACCAACATTAGCAATCTCAATCAGAATCAGCTTTACTGGCCAGGTGTGTTGGACACACGAGGAATTTGACTCTGGTACAATGGCTCTCAAAGTGTATGTACAATGCTCTTCTGTAAAACAATGAGTAGACAAGTGAGCAAGATAAAGCTGGGAGAGCAAAAAAGAAAAAGAATGTGCAAACAAGAACAAGGAATGTGCCTTAGGAAAACAAAAGTATATTTATAAGCTTGTGCTCCTGTTCTACAGTACTATATGTCATTTAACTTGAGATAGCAGGCTTGGCACAGACAGCTACCGTCTATGACTATCCTCCTTTTCTTTTAGTTACCATTCAAAGAATGTCCCAGGAAACTCCCTACGGGCAAAAGACACTGCTGCAAAGTGCAGTCTAAGTGCCATGTTACTTGGCACTGTTCAGAAACACACTATATTCTATTGTGCACTCCAAAGTGAACATGCAAAGCTAAGTATAGTTAACTCTGTTTAGCTTAACCCACCTGTTATGTTCATTTCTCAGGAACAGCAGTGATGTTCCTGGGTTAATTTTACCATTACTAACCATTTCAATCACTATTTAGTGCAGTGGTTTTCTTTACCTCTCACAGATTATGGTTCAATGAGGATAATGCACTCGTTTGTCAAAGAAAATGCATCTTAAAACTCTTTTTAATGTACATTGAAACGACCTACATATAAAATACATTATTTTTACATGACATTGATTAGTTTAAAATTTTATTTTACATTTTGAAATCTTTTCTTTTTATGAAGTGATGTTGATAAATTAATATGAGACACCTCTACTGTTTGAAACAGTATCTTTGTAATGTAAACATGCAGGGGAAGGTTGCAAATATGTGAAATGAACCGTTTTCATTTTATATGTTGATTACACCTATTAAGCCAAGCAACAGACGTTTCATACCAATAAAATACTTTTAACTATTGCTTTTAGATTTTTTTTTAGTTTACAATGAGTCAATTTGACCCGCAACATAACAGGATGGTTAATGACCCTCAGAACGTGACGTAACGAATGCCTTGAACTGGGCCACTCTGGACCCCTGCAGTGGGAAAATGTTCTGAATGGGCTGTTGGGTCTGTGAGGAAGGAATTTGGTTGCAGGAATAAAGATTCGTTTCCAGGGCCTGAATTAAGGATGTGCTGGGAGCAGGGGTTTCATAAAGCAGAAGTGATGTTTTAATTGCAGTCAGTCAGGAACAACCTCTGATCTTGACCAGAAATTATTTAAAGTTAACAGGATTTTTGTATGATACGTTTTCGTATCATACAAAAAGCTTTAAACATCAAGCTTTAAACATCCCAAGGAACACTGTTTTAAATCTTTTACAAACCAAACTTAGGAATTTTTTGAGATTATTGCAAATGTGCATACACAAGAGTTCATACTTGTGATACACAATCTTCACTTCAATGCTAGCCTCCCTGTGGCCAAGCTCTTTACAGACCCTGGAAGAATGTGTATGTCAAAAACTTACGTAATCAGCCCAACATGCTGAGATGATACAGACCTCTAGTGTGCTGTGGGGATTGAGTGTGTGTTTGTGTGGGGGGGTCCTCTGAATGGAACTGGATGAAGGGTGGGTCTTCTGAGGCAATGCAGAGGGATGGCCTTACTTTGGTCTGCATGTTTTCAGTTTCTCAGATTGCCATCCCTCTATGCATGTTATAGAGTGAAACCTGAAACAGCAGCAGGCCTGTATTTTGTACCTCGCTCTCCTCTGGAAACTGTTGTGTAACATTATGAAAGGTAAGTCCCTTTGATTACTGAGCATGTGATTAGTTTTTTATTCTAGTCACAGATGATAAATAAGTGAAATTATTTTTATTTATGAGGTATATTAACGGCATTCTTTTTGGTTGTTGATTTATTGGTAGCAGAGCTCAATAAAAGTTGTTTAAAGTGTTTTCTGGCACATTTAGTGCATGTGAGAGCTCTCTGCAATGCAAATAAGCCATGCATGGTTATTTGTTTTACCCCATTTCAAAAGGCCAGCAATGTCAAAGCAAAACTAAATTAGCCTGTGGCTGTCCTGGCCAACATTTATGATCCAATATTTAATTTTACTTCTACATAGGACCTTTATTATGAACTTTATAGTGTATATATTAGACTTACATTAAAATTAGCACAGCAATTTAAATACATTTTACATCTGAAATGCTCAGCAAAATATAAAATGGTTGTTTCCTATATTGTTTACTATAATATCCATAAAAAACATATCATTGTGAATTTGGCTGGAATAACTGGACCGACATAAAGTCTGTTGTATATTGTACATTACCTTACATGACTTACTGTAAATATCACTTGTACATATCTATAGATTAGTTCTGACTGTACATACTGTATATACTGCACACTCTGCACTGCTGTTATTGCACTTCTGGTTAGATGCTAAACTGTATTTCGTTGCCTTGTACGTGTACATGTGTAATAAAGTTGAATGTAATCTAATCTATCTCATAATCACAATGCCTGAATTTGCTGCCCTTTGGACATCAGTGGCACTAATTTCATGCTATAGCTACTGTTTATCATGTTCTGATTCACTGACTATGTGACTTGAGGACACACTTGCCTATTAGTCATACCCAGATTCCAGTGCATGTCGTATTATGATGTTGACAGAACTCTGGTTACTCAAGTGTAGATTACACAAATCATGAGCAAATAGACCATGAGGTTGTAAAAACTATAAAGAATAGATCATATGACAAATGTTATATCCCCTTCTGTAATCTTTCTGCAGTCTCCTCTCAATTTAGGTCAGTGTGATTAAGGTAAAGGGTGCACTGGACATTAGTGAGAGATTTTAAAAGTACACTGAAATTAATCACAAAATATTTCTTTGTCATTCACTAGGTCAGTCTGTCAGTCACTCGGCTGCTCAGTTAGTCCACAGCCTTTCACAGAGAGGTGAAGTTGGTACTGTTTCATGCAGTAGGCCCAAGCCCCTCTCGTTTCTTGGGATCAAACTTCATTGTGCCTTACTGAGGTTGTTCTCAGTCTTGGCATATTTTCTCACAGTGGGCTGTTTCTGTGATGGTCTATAAGCATCTGCAGTATGAGTGAAAACCTTCTATTTCAGCTTGTCTGTGTTGCTCTATAAAATGATAATGTTTAGTCTTATTTATTGAAGGGATATGTTTCAAGTGAGGTATTTGGCATGCACTGTGGAAAAGTGAGGTAAACTACGATCTGGCTGCAAAGCCAATGAGGATTCTCCTTTGCCAGCACAGAGAGTGGGGGGCTCCTCTGCTTGTGTTGCACTAAGCCTTCATTCCCACCAAGTACCATTTAAAAACAAGGGCTCTATTTTTACCTAAGGCTACAAATTGGCACTGGCTCAAGAGATTCTGGCTTCTAAAATGGATCCAACCTCCAAACCTGTGCACACAGCATATACAGAGTTACAATTAACTCTACGTCTGACCTTTGCCAGTAGGACCACATTCCCACATTCCTGTATGAAGGTGACTTCACACAAGGATTCTGACTAAAGGAGATTCTCACCCAGTGTAGTGCTGTATTAGTCCTGTGAAACCAGCTCACACAACATGTAATGTGTGAGTAAGGATGTGTGAATGACAGCAGATGGATACTGACATGTATTCTTGGATTTGGACTGCAGCAGTGACCGTGTTGTGTTTCAGAGAGAATAAAAAGGGTAAAAGAAGAACTGGGGAGAGGCCAGTTAAGGCAACCTGACAGGAGTGAGCTCAGTCAAGGAGCTGCTGTTTCCTCCAAAGAGAGAAATTCTTTCAGCAGCTTTGGACCCTAAACAGGGTCTGACTGAGGGCTTGACTAATATCAAACATGGTCATGTAATATCAAGCCATTATTGAAAAGTAGTGACATATATTACATTTCATTTAAACGTGACCTCTCACCCAATGTCAGCTGGAAATGGCTCCAACCTACAGCAACCCTCTTCAGAGTAATCAGTATAAATAATGGATGGATGGATTTAAACATGAGATGTTATATACACCCACAAGCCATTTTATTAGGTACACCTGTACAATTGTAAGCAATTCAATGCAACACTTCCACCTTAACATCTGTGTTTATAAAGCTCAGAATTTTGGTTTGTCATAAATATATAAATTCAATTATATGTTTATTATTGAAGTCATAGTTTGGGTGGTGTTGTACTGGACTACATTATATTCAGAGGTGTTCCGAATATTCTGACCCTTTCATATATGTAGCATATATAT